TTTTTTTTTTTTTTTGGTACCAGGGATTGAACTTGGGTCCTTGCGCTTGCGAGGCAGGCAGCAGAACCACTGACCTAAATCCCTGGTCCCACAGTCCATTTTATTGGCACTGTTAGGTGAAAGAAAAGAGCCTATCTCCAAGGGAAGGTGAAACCAAGCAATTAACTGAGGGTGCTGTGGACCCACGCACTGCTGCTGTTTTCCTGACTAGGCTGCCACTGTGCTGTGCGTCTTGAACGCCCCACTTATCCACTAGTTACAGTTATACAGCAGCCGGCACGGACGCAGTCGCCAGCAGCTCTGTGCATTTCTATCACGCCAATTCCTGTACACTTTCCAAAGTGTGGAATCTCTTCCGAGCTCATGCGTGATGCTTTGGGTGTGTTCTCAGCCCCGCCTTCTCCCCAGCACCCCCTAAGCTGCCTTGTGGGGAGCAGTGCCATGATTGGGAGCACACACGCTTGTGTTCTCTTGTAGAGTCGAGTGCCTTAGCCAGGCCAGAGGCTTGCATTGTGTTGCTGCTGTCCAGAGTTACACAGATGTCTGAGAAGTTTCTTTTCAGGCTGTGTTCATGGAAAATCCCCCTTTAGGCTGTCAAAAAGAAAAAAAAAACACCCCAAAACCAATTCCCCTGTGTTTGAGGAGGGTTGTGGGTTAGAAAAATGTGAAAATGCCTGGACAGGGTATTGCAACTTCTGCCTTTTGTGATCCTTTTAACACTCACGATCCAGCTGCAATGCGCGGTTTGAAACTGCCAGAACTTGTGTCTTTCTTCCACAAGAACTAAGAAATGTAGTTTAAGAGGTTTTAATTTTAAGGATAATACAGTGAGTTATAAATTTAAAAAGTAAAAGTTCTGTGGCATTTAACATTATGATTGAAATACTCGTCATTCTACCTTTGAAAAAGAAAGTGAAATACTGATTGTAGTCTCAGATGTTACGACACTGCTACCCGCTCCTTCTTACAGAGAGGTATTGGGAAGAGGAGCGTGTGTCCAGAGTTACCCACCTTCTAAATAGATACCAGAAGAGTGCTGGTTATGACCTGGAGGCTGTGCATTTGGAGAATATACACAAGATCTTTTTAAAGGAAAGAAGGGACCACCTCACTGCCCCATGAATGTGAAAGTTTCTGTGTTAGCTTTCACAGAACTAGTTTATTTGGTGGTCAATCAAAAGCACTTGAAATGTACTTTGCTTTCCAAAGCTGACTTTGACTAACCTATAGAGAATAAAAAGATAATCTGAAGGTGTTTGTTTATATCAAAGACTGTGTTTCCCACTTATATTTTTAATCAGAAGCCTATTTGTAATTCATCATTCACTTGAGTTTGCTCTCAACGAGACACTGCCTAGAATAGACAGACCACTCAGTTTTTGCTTTGTTACTTCTGAGATCTTGCCACGTTCAAATCTTCTTGATTGTTTTAGATCTCTTGACCAATTAAGGACTGGGAACAAAGTCAACCTGATGGGGTGAGATTTCTTTTTTTTTTTTTTGTTTTAAGATGGGGTCTCACTATGTAGTTCAGGTTGGCCTTGAATTCACTGTGTAGACCAGGCTGGCCTCTCAGCGATCCTCCTGCCTCAGCCTCTGAGTGCTGGGATTACAGGGCATGTGCCACTACCCCTGACTGAGACTTTGACTTTGGATCCCCAAAGAAGCCAAAAGTAGATAGAGAAATCTGGTTGTGTTGAAGCCTGTATTCAGAGTGGCCTTGTCTTGACCTTACTGTGGGCTTGATCCAGGACTCTATAGGAAATTTGTGAAGTCAGAATTTTCTTTGTCCCAGGAGGATCGTGTAAGGCAGCATGCCCTTTGCTGAACACCCTGTGGGTGAATAATTTTACTAAGTTAGCTGCCAGTACTACAACCTTCCAGGAAGAATTTTAACTAGTATGCTGCATTTGAAGCACTTTGACGTGTACATTTAAGGTGACAAGTCTTAACGGTAAAATGGTGTTAAATTAATCACTGTGAAACTTGAAAGTGTGGTGCTCTGCACATTTTAGGAAGCTTGCATACACTTCTAAATTTTCTTCATTAATCACGTAACTGATTTGTGTGTGTTAGTTTTCATCTTTGACAGTGGTACAAGTGATTGGCATAACGGTAGGCAATGTAGAGTGCGGTATACTGTAAATCACGGTTGTCTCACTTCCGGAGAAAGTGGTGGTGTGTGTACTTCTTCCTTGCATGGAGCCATGAGAATTGGATTTATGGGCCGATTTGTTTCTAGTGTGTATGTGGTGCAAAATAAATGTAACCTTATTTTTTAAAACTTCATGCTAGCAATATGCTTTTCTGTTTAATAAAAAAGCGAGAGATAGTAATCTAGCTGGTTTTTGTTCTTAAGCAAAGATCTGCTCTTTATACAGACAGGTCGTAAATGAGTTCATGTTTAGGGTAGCAAAAGAAGTTTACCATTGGAGTCCCTCTCGCAGGTAGCCTGCCCAAAGGGGTTATGTTGCTTTTGTTCTGGGAGACCCAGTTCCCAGGATTGGAAAGTGTCACATGAATTGTCTGTAAGATGCTTTAACAAGGGCTTCTCCCTAGGAAAGTTCACTTGCACACAGCAGAAGGGCTGTTCTTCTCCTCCAGAGCAGTCACCTATCCTCCTCTTCAGAGAATCTTTCTTAGAGAGCGGGGCTGGATCAGAGTAGTGCTGTTTTTAAAGCATGCAGCTTGGATGGTGGCCAGAGAGCCTAGATGCCACACTGGGACTGGACATAGGACCTGCTTTGGCAGCACACGCTAAAATTGGAGTCACCGACAGCACGGACGGCATGGGGAGTGGCTAAAGTGCTGCTGTGATGCCTTCTGGCTACTTGGCTGGAGTCTTCTCTCGAGCAGTTTCTGAGGATGACAGGTAAAATTAGAGCTGATGTTGGGTTTTCATCAAACTACCCACAATTCATCTTGAATTCTAGATTGTGATATTTTTAATGAACATTTTTTAATATCCAGAGAGTAAGCACTTGACACAGTGTGCTTAGATAATACTTGATTTTACTGACCAGGTTATTATAAAAGCTTGATTTAATTTTGCATGACCTGTGAATGCTGCATTATAAATCTGTTATCATTCAGTATCACACTTTGAGCTTAATAACTATGAATTGAGGCTGCTTACAATAGTAACATTTTCTTAAGATTATTTTTAAACAGCTTAATCTCATCAGAGCAACGATTTAGAAGACAGAGACCCAGCTATGTGTAATGATTCGCTCGTTTCAAAATAGCCCAAGAAAGCATAATTTATTGTTGAGCTTCAAGTTGCAAAAACATGGCATTTCCTCTGGTTAATTGCCAGCGTGAAGCTCCCAGCTGCCTGCCTTCTCTACTTTCCTCCGTATCTGACACGGCAGATTAAACTGTGGCTACTCGTAGAAAAAGAAATTAATATATTTTTTCTAAGTAAAAGTTACTGAGACTTTGTTGCCCTGTGACTAAAATATGTAGCAGGAATCTGGCCAAGTGAATCATGGAGGTGTTTTGCGTGGCCCTGGTAGAGTTGGCCTTCATTCAGTTTTATTCTGAAATGAGAGACCACTTCCGTCCCTTCTCAGGTCCATAGAGACAGCTCCGCTGGAGCAGCTGGAACGTGCTTGGTGCAAATAGAGTAGATATTAGCAAGATGAAGAGGAGCCTAAGATCTTCTTTTCCCTTTCAAGTAGTTTAATTGGAAATGTTAGTAACTGGTCTAAGATTGCCATGTCTGTAGTAAGTAATACGGTATTTATTTTATCCGGTTATGTGTGCTGTGCGTATGTTTACATATCTAACATGTACACACTGCATATGTATGTATGTACGATATCATGGATGTACAGAGTCTGCTCTTAATTGTCTGCCAAATGGAAAGCCCTTCTTACACTGTTCTTGATGTGGACTTGGTGTGCACTTGGCCCCTCACTGGGAAGCCACAGCCGTTTCCTCCCTCCCATGCATCTTCGTCTTGAAGAAAGCCCTTTAAATGCGCCACTTTCCACGTCCCTGTAACCCTGAGAGCCTGTGAGCCAAAAAATGCTCCCCAAAAATGCTGGCTGCTTCCACGGGGCGGAGGCCTCTGGGTCTGCAGTTACCGGCTCAGTTCTGGCCTCAGGGCAGCTGTGGGAGGGCTCTCACTCCTGTAGAAGACAGAGCTTTGTGATTTGCTTCAATTATTTTGCTAGAATGTGAAGTCTCAGATAACCTGATGCACAGGAGCAGAGCACGACAGTGCATCCCATGTTACTTTTGTATCACCTGTACTCTTGTTCCCCACTGCTAGCCTGGTAATCGAGACCTGACTCTTTCTTATCACTGGATGTGGAACCATAACCTTTAAACTGGATTTATGTTTATTTCTGCTGCTGTGAACCCCAAAAATAATGCAGTAGGTTTTAGTCTAAAGTTGTTTAATTCTTTTATTGATAAATATTTATTGTAATAAAAGTAAATGAGTAAATAATTTTTAAATCCTTTTAATTGTTTTCAGATTGTCTTTGTTTTTCTTTGGTGGGGGAAAGATAATGTTCAGCCACTTGTCTTAGAAGCATTGATTATTCTAAAGCAAAGCAGGACATAGTTTTTCTTTTTTTGGCCTTGATTTTGGTTTGGAAAGATCAGCCTGCTTCCTCTTGGGTATTCTGTGATCCTGTGACTTTTATTTCAGAAAACAGTGCAAGACAGGTGGCATGAATAGCTTATTTGTAGCCTGCTGCTCTTGACTCACATATAGTGTATGTGTGAGGAGTGGTCAAAAAATATGGTGAGCTGGGTGTGGTGACTCATGCCTGTAATCCCAGCACTTGGGAGGCTGAGACAGGAGGATCACTAAGTTCGAGACTAGCCTGGGCTACATAGTGAGTTCCAGGTCAGTGTCAACAACATAGTGAGACCCTGTCTCAAAAAACAAAACAAAACAAAACAAAACCCAAACAAAAAACCAAACCAAACAAAAATGTATATGGTGAACATTTAAACATAAAAATGTATTACAGCAAAAGTGATTTTGCCATTTATCTCAGAATACCTAGAATACTCTTAAGTACTTGCTTTGAACACACTTATTTCACCATTGTTGGCAATATAAGGTTTTTAAAGTTTAAACATGTACTGTGTTTTTCCTCTGTGTGTGTGTGTGTGCACGCGCGCGTGCATGTATGTATTCTTTATAGTAACCAGGTCACACTTAAATCAGTTTGTTATGTGGTGGTTTATTCCTCACAAGCATTTTGACATAGAATAACATACAACATTAATTTTCCAACCTGTTCTCCAAACTAAAATTCCAGACTTTCCTTACTGTAGAAACTATTAATTCATACCCAGCATACTTAGAATATATTAAATATTCATAAATATATACACTTAGAATATATAAATCAGGACTCCCAATTGTCTACTTTGCTTCTGAAAATAATTTTTTTCATTTTTTTATGACAATTGATTTCCCAGCTTTGGCAGTAGACCTTTGACATTTTTTTTGTGACAATCTAAAGGTGAGGAAGGAAATGTCCCATATCCCAACCTAGGCCAGTTTCCCATCTGTGAGCTGCTAATTCCCCTAGGTGGGCCTGACAGTTATTCCCACCTTTTGCCCTGCACACTTCCAGTGCCTAGCAAGTACCTGAAGCAGGTAAGTGCCGTGTGCCCGTGCTTGGGTCTACCAAAACTCAGACGGACCCACTGCCCGCAGAGTGTCTTAGTTTTCTTTTTGCTCTCATCTTCTTTCCTCTGCTTACAAGTTTCTTGAAAGAAAATCGTGTATCTGTCCCTTCCATTTTTTTTTCTTGTTGTTTTTATTCTGAGAGTTTCGCAAGAACTTCAAAAAACAATGAATGTTTCTCATATTCAACTTTGCAAGTTTTTACCTAGAGAAAGTTTCTTTTTTTTCTAAACCTTAATTTTCTTATGTATAAAATAAGATTAATATTACTGCATTTATGCAGTAGGAAGACTAAATGAGAATAATATATGTACAGTGAGTGGTCTAAGGTAAATGCTTGGTTTCTTTTAAAAAGAGGAAGGTTTATTTGATTTATGGTTCCTGAGGAGTCAGTCCATGGTCAGCTGGCTCGAAGTCAGTAACATCGTGGTTGATGCTTGGTTTCTAATATCTAGTTCTGGTTTTACTTTTGAGCTTTTTTAAAGCCATAAGGCACAACTCCTGACTTCCCCACCTTCTGTTTCCTCCTTTTTGAAAACAATGGTGAGACAGTTCCAAAGACAACTGAAATAGAATAAAACAAGTTTGCCTTCTGAGACTACTAATACTCACACAAATTGAGAGATGGTAATAAGCCAAGAAGTAACCTAAATGCTTGATGAATTTCCCAACCTCCCCAAATACCAGTTAGGGTGATTTATTATAAACTAATGGATGTAGAATTGTGACTTGTTAGGTAAAATCTAATCAATGTATTTTTAAAATTTATCACAGCAGACCTGCTCAGGGATGGGAGTGCCATACCCCAAGGACTCAAACCATCTCTTCTTTCTATCAAGTTATCCCCATGCCCACCGAACTCACCATGATCAGTCCTTCCTATCCAGGAACCAGTTCTGGTTTCATTTCCTTGGCAGCTCAATCCAGAAATATGCTGGTCAAAAGGCACCCTGCCGTTAGTGATGGTTGTAGTTTCTTGCTACAATTAATGAGTTCCCTGCATTTTGTTTTGTTTTGTTTTGTTTTCTGTGAGCTTGTTAGTAAAAGTCAGCTCTCAGAGCAGGTGTACTTACAGAGTACTGCATACATTTGAGGAGTGGACTCGCTGCTGCTCACTCATCAGGGTGAGCATCCTCTACGTATCTTCCTTGAGTCCCTCTCAGCTGTGGCAACCCAACACTTACCCACCTCAGTCTGCTCAGGTCTCCTGCTCCTTTCATATTACAGAATTGAGGCAGGTGTGCTGCATACCTGTAATCCCGGCACCAGGAAGGCTGGGATCACAGTTCAAGGCTAGTGTGGGCTGCTTAGTGAGACACCATCACAAAACAAACCCATGCAAGCAAAAAAAAAATTTTTTTTTTAACTAAATCAAAAGATGGTACATTAAGAAAGAGAATGTGAAAGTCAGTTATAAACTTGGGCCAGGCCCCTGAGATATGAATTATCTTGATCTTCCTGTTTTTCTGGTGTACATTCTATCTATATTTCAAATAAAATGAGTCATATTTTTCCTCTTGTACGTCATCTTCCCAATGCCTTAAAATGTTTCTAGCCAATTTTAAAATACAGGTAACTGGAGTAAGCATAGTTATGTCTGTGCATTTCTGTTAACACATGTTGGGCACTTACAACATACAAGGTATTAGATGCAGTGTTTTGTGTGTGGTGCTGAATAAAACTGACAACTCCAACTCTAAAGAGCTATAGCCTACAGGCATTCTCTCCCTGGGAAAATCAGTGCACATGCTGATCTAAATTGTTAATAGGTGGTAGCTGACTGTCCGGAGAGGTGCCTTTGTAGTGGTGAATAAGTGTTTTCTACAACTGTACATGATTGAAGCTGTCTGAGATTGAAGAAGTCCTCCCTGCTGGTCTGAAAATTGCACAGGAGAGCCAGCAAAGGAGACTACCCTGGGGTTTTTTGTTTTATTTTGTTTCCTGGTACTGGGGATCGAACTCAGGTCCTTGTGCTTGTGAGTGAGGCAGGCGGTGGAACCACTGAGCTAAATCCCCAGCCCTGCCCTGTGGTTTTTATTGTGGTGATGGGCTGGGTGTAGATGAGCTACCAGCTCACAGGGTAGAAATCTGTCAGGAAAGAGCACCTAGAAGGGAAGCATAGTGGCACGCGCTTGCAATCTCAGCACTCTGAGAGGCTGAGACAGGAGGATCATAAAGTCTAGCTCACCAGGGCAACATAGCAACTTAGACCCTGTCTCAAGTTTTAAAAAGGACTGGGAATGTAGCTCAATTTGAAGACCTAGGTTCAATCCCTAGTGCCTTCCCTACAAAAAAGCACTTAGACTTTTTTTCTTTTTTTTTTTTTCAATGCCAAGAATTGAATCCTAGCAAGTGCTTTACCACTGGGCTACCTCCCAGCCCTTTAAGACATACAACATCTGTCCAGATGTGGAGAAGAAAACGAGTGAGGCTAAAAGCTGCCAACAGCCAAACAGCAAAACCTGAGCCCTATTCCTTACAATAGCAGGCTCGACTACAGCCACCTGGGGCCTGCCGGCTGCTCCCTGGGCCCCCTTCAAGCATTTAGGTGGTGCCTCTGCATTCTCGCCTCCAATGGCTGATTCCTGCTGACCTTCCCGTGGTGTCCCCCTCCCAGCACAGGTGCTTGTGCACACGTGTGTGTCTGTGACTCTCCTTATGGGTGGTGGGAATGTGAACCTGTCGCGAGCCGGCGACGCAGAGCACTGTCCAGCAGTGCCTCAAACCTGAAAGAGCAGCGAGGTGGAGATGGGGCAGAAAGGAAGGACGCCAACACAAGAGTCTGATCAAGGCGACGTTTATTGCAAGCAAGCATCAGCCTTTTAAAGGCACATCAACAGGAAACACCTGACTCCTACAGCTAACGTCAGATCTTTAACAGGAAGTACCTGACTCCTACAGATCTTTGGCTATCTGAGTTTCTCTCGTGCAGGGTCAGAAACACGTTTAACACGTGCAGTCCTTAAAGAGGAACAAATGTTATCTTTCAAAAAGCCAATGGGCCATGGCTGGCTTCCCACATGAGCCAGCCAGCCTGGCAGAGTTAGGGTCAGAGCTATACCTGGCAACTCTGACTCTGACCTATGGGGAGTTTAATGCTGTGGTTTACAACCAAAGGACTTAGCTGAGGGCTCTAAAGCCAAGAAGCGACTCTTTCCCCACCTCCACCCCCAAGCCAGGCTTAGGACAGGATTCAGGCAGCAGTTGGACTTTTAGGCTGTTCTGTGTTCTCTACCGCTTGCACACTTGAAAAAAATTAAAAATGTCCTCCATTTGCCCTTGGGTAGGTCTTATTCAGGAAGGGCTTATCTTGGCCTATGAGTTGAATAGACAGTAAGTACCATGTAATGGCTGAGAAAATAAGTCTTCAAGAAGTTGTTACTTGGCCAAGGTGACAGGAAAGGACTCGGGCAAGCACCTGCCCTTCATTTCTGAAGGGCTGAGGCCCTGCCAAATGTCATCCAGGTTTTTCCCTTTCTTTCCTTGTTTGTTTGTTTTGTGTATGCTAGGCAGGCATTTCACTGTTGCATCACATCCCCAGCCCTTCTAGTTTGGTTTTAAAGGGTTTTACCTGTTTACTTTTTGCAGTACTGGGGATTGAACCTAGGGCCTTCACACTGAACTACATTCCCAGCCTTTTTTCTTAGTGTTTTTAATTTTGAGACAGTCTTAACTAAGTTACTTGGTTCCCTTGGCTGGGCTCAAACTTGCAATTTTGCCTGAGCCTTCCGGAGTGCTGGGATTACAAGCTCCACCAGGCCTGGCTTAAAGGATTTTCTTAATGAACAGCATTTTTGTTCACGACGAGGCATAAAAATGTCCAGGAAGCTGAGTGTGGTGGTGCATTCCTGTAATCCCAGCATCCAAGAGGTTGAGGCAAGACACTGTCAAATTCAAGATTAGTAGAGGTCATGGCCAGCCTGTGCTACATAGTGACACCCTGTCTCAAAAAGCAACAAAACAAACGGAAATAAACAAACAAACAAACAAAAAAAACCACGTCCAGCGAAATAGTGTCTTTCTGGAGACAGTGGCCTTCGAGAGCTTAATCTCTACTCCTGCCCGCCCCATACCATTTTCCTCTCCCCTTTGCTCTTTCAAGTCTGACGAGGTGGGGCTGGAGGGATTGCTTTAGGTTTCAGCCCCACTGGAAACAGCAACAAGAAGACAACAGTCCCCGGACAGAAGCTCATGGGTGTCGAGTGGAGACGGGCCAGGTACCTCGAGTAGGCGCTCAAGACGGGACGATAACTGGGTGGACGCGATACATCGCAGTCCACCCTCGGAAGAGGACCTATCCAGCCTGTGCTCAGGACGATGCTTTGAAGGGGTCAGGACGGACCTGTCGACCTAACTGCGGGGACCCTAACTTCCCAGCTGACGGCCAAGTTCCGAGCGGCGCTGGGCGGGGCCTGAAGAGCTGCGGAACCGAGCGGCTGCGGTCAGGTGACCGCGTTTCCCTGGCAACCGCGTGTTCCGGGCGACGGTGCAGCTGCGGACCCAGGGAAGCAGCTGAC